TGTAATGTTCTGAAAGCATCCTAGTTTTGTAAACAAAAATAAATTCCACCTGTACCTGAAGAGTCAAAAGCATAATTGCTGAAACAACCGTGGACATCTTCAAGAGAAAACTATATTGTTTTCTTCAAGGAGTGTCAGACCAATCGGGCTGTGATGGGTATGGTGGACCAAACTCTCACAAGTCAAGCCTGACCTCGGGCCGGGCTTGGGGAGTAGAAGAACTCCCAGAACCCCATCAACCAGGTATCATACAGGTATGATGCACTAATAGGATGTATTCAATACCGTGTACACTCTTGTTTGCTGTTTATTTATCTTGTGTGTTCTCCCATTTGTAGTAGCAGTATCCCGACCCAACCTAAAGTAACAGTAGCTTCAGTATAATGATATCTTCGAAGATATTATATACTGCGTAATTCCCATCATGTTTACCATTGTAACGTTAATTCATACCATTTCCATGGCACTGTACGAATACCGACGGCCATTATTTTCATTGCATGACATTACAATGACAGCGGCCAGTTCTGTTTCCCAGCGCCTCTGTGTGACAATCAGGATGAGAAATGACCATTGCCTCTCCATTTCCTGACCGCCATACAAAGGAATTTGAAGGTCTATAACGTCTAGGAAACACATGTTTGTGTTACTGTTTGAATCGGATCAGATTAAATATATAATTCACCTGTATCTATTTTTAGAGTGCCTGCCTCTCTCTCTCTTTCTGGCAGACAGACAGATGGGAAAATACCAAATAAAATGCATTGAAAGAACTGAATGTCGTGAATATCTACTTGTGCCAACTTGAGAACTTTAAGCCACAAAGATTTCAATATGTCAGCGTTACATGAAGAAAGTCACATCGTTTTGTCACATAATGATGATAGTGTCTCCTAAATGTATGTATAGGTGAATGTAATGCTGACAATGTGGCACCCCGGGCAGCCTATGCTCACCCCGGACCACAGACCACATTCCCTTTGCCAATTTGGGTCAGGCTAGACCCAGGCTTTGCTGGCCTCCAACTGCTGGGATGACAGGGAAACAATGGAAACAGACATTTTCTCTTATAGATAGATGTGTGTGTGTGTGTGTGTGTGTGTGTGTGTGTGTGTGTGTGTGTGTGTGTGTGTGTGTGTGTGTGTGTGTGTGTGTGTTTGTGTGAGAGCTCACCTATTTTTACTCACCTATTTGTGCCTGCAGGATTGAGCACTCTTGGATCCCGTCTCTCTAGTCACAGGTCGCTTATAACAATGACTCCTGTCCTATTTCCCGTGTGTGTGTGTGTGTGTGTGTGTGTGTGTGTGTGTGTGTGTGTGTGTGTGTGTGTGTGTGTGTGTGTGTGTGTGTGTGTGTGTGTGTGCCGCTTCTGAATTTTTTTCTTGGTGACGCGGTGATGAGCACTATAGCTGCAACCCCGGAGGTGTGTAATTTAAAGCTGCTCTCTCCTGTAGACTAAAACTGCTGCCTCCAACAGCAGCAGCAGCAGCAGCAGCAACGCCGCTCACGGCACCGTTCTGATGACTGCACCACACACACTTTTAGCCACTCAGACTGCGAGATTTAATTTTTTTTTTTTGCTCTGTTACCTCCACATATATGTGAATATATATGGTCCCGCCTCTCAACCGTCAATCAACTCGTGTACAGATTCCTGAGCCTACTGGGCTCTATCATATCTTCATTTAAAACTGTGTATGGAATGGTGTGTTTGTGTGTGTGTGTGTGTGTGTGTGTGTGTGTGTGTGTGTGTGTGTGTGTGTGTGTGTGTGTGTGTGTGTGTGTGTGTGTGTGTGTGTGTGTCTATTCTCGGTACTTATTTTCCACTTTTTAAAGACGTGAACTGAAATCGAATTTTCAACTTTCTTCTTAGTGATTATTTAATGCTAAGATTTCCGTTGAGTTTGGCTTAGTTTATTAGTATATTTCGACGATATTATCAACACATTGCGATAGTTTAGGTACAATTTTTAACTAGACGTTCCAAATATAATTTAGTAAATTTGTAGATTTTGGCAACTAGATGTAATTTGGGAACACAAAGGGTCAGTATGTATTTTCTGTAATACTACCTTTGTTTTAATGTTTTTTTTTTACTTTAATCTGTGTACCTATCATACGTAGACATTTATTGTTTTACATAAAACACGACTAAGTCGTGTTTTATGAAATCGCTGTATTATTTGAAAAAATCTATATTATTAAAGCCATACCTGTAAGTTAAACCAATAAGCTATGAATCCTAGTTCAATGTAATGAGTTGATAAACCCAAAACCACATAAACAGTGATAAAAACGGTTGATATAGTGCAACAGAAATTAAAGTAGGAATTGGACTAAATGGGGTCCTATTACCAAGTAAAAAAAATGAGAAAGGTGAGAGAAAAATGTTTAAGTTGAAAGATAAAATCCTAAACCCGAAACAAAAAAGTAACTTATTAGTTCAAAAAATATAATGAGAGGATAGAAATCATTAGAGGGTTTACTTTCTCAAAATAGGAACACATGCGCAGAATAGTTCCCCCAAAAAAGGATATTTAACGAAATATGCTGAAACTTTTTATTACTTATTATTACTTATTTTTATTAATATTACACTCAAAACATGACGAAACGGAGAAGCAGAAGAATTCCTAGAGAAAGAACACAGAGGAAACAGAAGAAGAACGCTGGGAAGAAGAAAGAAAATTAGCCATACATATTCTAAGCCCTGTATTCCTATGGTAGAGAGAGAGAGAGAGAGAGAGAGAGAATAGGTATGTGTTCAGACTGGGTTCATATGCAACAGCACAGGAACACCAAAAAATTAGGCCACTAAAGGTAGTATCTATAAATGAGCGGTCACCGCGAATTATGAAGTGACGTAAAAATAACCTGAGGGGATATAGTAGACTACATAGATGTATACCTTGACACCTGTGCTTATAAGGAGGCAATAATGGGGAAGGATGAGGAAGGAACAAACTGCACTTCCCCGCAGCTTCAAGATCAATGAGACCAAAGAGATAACACAACAGGTAAATAAGATACTTATAGAATACAAGTGCATCCAGAAATGAAGACACTTAGAATCCAAAGCAATAACAACTTTCTAACGAATCATTTCCTTTTTCCACAATGAGTTGAGAAACCAAGGACCACAAAATAAATGAATAGGCACAAGACCAAAAAATAGATAAGTTTAGGAGCACACAATGGACATTTCTAGGACCACACAGTAAGCTGACATTCTCAGACTCAGACTAATGAGTGTACAGGTCCTGAACCACATATAAGTTGACATGCTCAAGCAACATAATGAGTGTACAGGCCCTGAACCACATATAAGTTGACATGCTCAAGCAACATAATGAGTGCACAGGCCCTGAACCACATATAAGTTGACATGCTCAAGCAACATAATGAGTGCAAAGGCCCTGAACCACATATAAGTTGACATGCTCAAGCAACATAATGAGTGCACAGGCCCTGAACCACATATAAGTTGACATGCTCAAGCAACATAATGAGTGCACAGGCCCTGAACCACATATAAGTTGACATGCTCAAGCAACATAATGAGTGCAAAGGCCCTGAACCACATATAAGTTGACATGCTCAAGCAACATAATGAGTGCACAGGCCCTGAACCACATATAAGTTGACATGCTCAAGCAACATAATGAGTGTACAGGTCCTGGACAATGAGTGGAAAACCTATGACCGCGTGATACATTAACAAACCCATGGCAAGATAATGAGTGAATAAACCAAGTAACCCAACAAATTTTATTTTCATTTTCTGCACAGCGGACCTAAAGGCTATTGTTCATTGTATGTATAATTGAGTTTGACAGGATAAATAGGTGATTTCATTTTAATGTAGTGTAAAGAAATTTAATTATGGATTTTTCTTTGTTTTAATGGCTGCATTTTTTTCGGTATGAGATGTCGAAACTATTACCTGCCCTTCACGGGTAGTCTTCACTACCCGTGATCACGGCTTTTTCAACTTCCTTCTCAAGTGATGAAAAACATAAGGAAATAAAGAAGATTCGTGTCTTGCTAGAGTCATTGATCTCACCCTTTCTGTCAGATTCACCAATATATCTCTATAAGAGAGACTGCAAGGATTTGTGTGTGTGTGTGTGTGTGTGTGTGTGTGTGTGTGTGTGTGTGTGTGTGTGTGTGTGTGTGTGTGTGTGTGTGTGTATGCGTGTGTGTGTGTGTGTGTGTGTGTGTTCATGTGTGTATATATGCAAGATAGCGTCACTATACAGAAAGGTAGTCAACCAAGAGAGGCAAAAACGTTAGGACTATGCACTATAAAACATGCCAATAAATATGTTGACTAAAAATACAATAAAGAGACTATTATAGCATTTTTTAATGAAGGCCTTTATTAGCCCAGCTCCACCATGAGATGGGGTGAGGGATATTCTGCGCAGCGTACTTGGTTAAATTCTGTGACATGTCAATTAAAAAATAAGAAAAGTGGGCAAAGTGAATATATAAGTACTTTGATGCAGACATCTTCATTTCCCACTATTTGGAAAGAAGAAAAGAATCTTACGAAACTGCCACTATAACTTTGGTAAGATTAGTTTCATCACATCGAAAAACACTCCACAATATTTGTGAAGAGTCAAGCAAAAAGACGCTCACCAGATAAGCTGTTTCGTAAATGCACTGTGAATATGGTGTACGAACAAAGCCACAAGGGCCGTGACGAGGGTTCGAACTAAAGTCCTTGAGGATTTGTTCATTTGATGCATCACGCTAATGTGATTTCTGTGTGTAATGGTGTACGACGTCGTGCGTTGGAGGTTGGAGGGGGGAGGGTGGGTTATGGTGGTGGGGGGAAGGGGGGAGGGTCACCACACACAGCTTTCTTGATCAAGCTCTCTATTACAACATTTAGTAATTACTTGCAGTTATTTTTTGTATTTTTTATTATGCTCCAAAAAGCTTAAAATATTTATATTTACAGAATAATATGAATAAATTTATTGGATTTATTTCTATATATTGAATGATGAACCACAGTGACGTGTGGTGGATGATGAACCACAGTGACGTGTGGTGGATGATGAACCACAGTGACGTGTGGTGGATGATGAATCACAGTGACGTGTGGTGGATGATGAACCACAGTGACGTGTGGTGGATGATGAACCACAGTGACGTGTGGTGGATGATGACTCACAGTGACGTGTGGTGGATGATGAACCACAGTGACGTGTGGTGGATGATAAACCACAGTGACGTGTGGTGGATGATGAACCACAGTGACGTGTGGTGGATGATGAATCACAGTGACGTGTGGTGGATGATGAACCACAGTGACGTGTGGTGGATGATGAATCACAGTGACGTGTGGTGGATGATGAACCACAGTGACGTGTGGTGGATGATGAACCACAGTGACGTGTGGTGGATGCTGAACCACAGTGACGTGTGGTGGATGATGAACCACAGTGACGTGTGGTGGATGATGAACCACAGTGACGTGTGGTGGATGCTTCACACACACTAAACAAATTTGAGAATTCATCGTGCTAATTCTATTCTTGTATTTGGTGAAATGATTCACTACATTTCATACACTGTACTGTTCCTTGGATGACTTTGAGAGGTCAGAACACGCAAGAAATAGTGATGAACCCATTTAAATACCTGTACCTATTTTGCCACATATGTTTCATCAAAAAACATCATAAATAAAATCTTTTTCATCAAAAAAGTCTGTGTGTTTTGAACGAGAAGGTAATACATAAATTAAGTGTTTAATTACAATCAATGATCAGCCATTAATCTCCCTTTCGATTAGGTTTCGAGTGAGCTGACGACTTGAAAGCTTAAATTTAAATATATATTAGTGTCCCGATGTGAGGCTCGACCTGTGAATCTGTAGCAACAAGGATCTCACCTTGCTAGGAGTTTGAAGATTCTTGAGTTGGAAGCGCACTGACTTCGCTCTTTTGCTTTCACTGCACTTGAGAGCATTTTGTTAAACCTTGCAAGTCGAAGCTGACATGCTCATGATATGATATGACATGATATAAAACACTGTAATAAAGCAGACAAGGTTTTATTTTTGATTTTGGGGCTTTAAAATGTCTCAGGAATTTTTTTTAATTCAGTAGAACTCACTTTCTTCAATGAACCATTCACTCTCACACTAATCTGAGCAGTTCAGTTGGATAATAAGGAGGAAAGCCCATTTATCTAGCCAGTGCAGCAGAAATCTTGCTATCAATACCATATTAACTTGGCAGCTGTACGCCAAAAATAGGATTTCTGAAGAAATATGTTTTACTGGCATTTTCAATCTTAATTCACAGTGGAGAGGGACGGAGAGGGATATATATATATATATACACTGTACACTGTAAATTCAGAGGTAGAGACAAAAAGCAAAACAAATTTATATACCGTATATCGCAAAGAAATCACAGTGGCGTCATATATCAACGAAAATCCTTTTGAGGCAATGGAGTGACTCGAAGCCGCGTTCTGGAGAATCCCAGACAACTGCCCTGACGGATCAAGGTAGGGTTTAAACGTTGATAAAGCAAGCATTTACTCTCTGGATTTCGACAGTGAGGCGCTGGAACACAGAGCTGGCTATACTCGTGGGACTCTTGTTTGCTTAACGATGTCTTGTCCCCATTTCCTTCGGGAACGTAAGTGCATATATGACCTCAATTGAGGTCATATATGCCTATTTACACGAAATTGAAACAACGATCCAAATTCCTGTACTTGATAGTTTGTATTGGTCTGAATGTAAGAATCTTATCTAATTCAAATTTCTGTACCGTAGATAGGTATTAACTAATGTTGATGAACATGTGTTCATGTTCCACACAACCTGTTCAATAACCCTCAAAGGCTGTCCCTGGTAACTCCGTCTGGATCCTTGTGACTGTTGTCTGGTACGCATATATAAAGTTTCCTTTGTGTTGAAAACTTGACTGAAATACAACTTTAATTAATGATGTCTTCGACTGCTTCATATCAAGCAACCGTTCCCTCCGGCCTTCCATAAAGGCGACAAAGTTTGTCCTGTTGGTAAGTTGATATCTAGCAGCAGATATTTACCTGTATCTGGAAAATTCCATCATTTAAAATTAAAATATTACCTCTATTGTTATTTGGTATATTAAAATATTTGTATTAATTTGAATGAATATATAGTCCGAGTCACTGACTGAAACTGGGCAATGTGAGTATTTAATTTGGTGGATAATATAATACTTTAGTTATCTTGAGGTTATCTTGAGATGATTTCGGGGCTTTTTTTTAGTGTCCCCGCGGCCCGGTCCTCGACCAGGCCTCCACCCCCAGGAAGCAGCCCGTGACAGCTGACTAACATCCAGGTACCTATTTTACTGCTAGGTAACAGGGGCATAGGGTGAAAGAAACTCTGCCCATTGTTTCTCGCCGGCGCCTGGGATCGAACCCAGGACCGCAGGATCACAAGTCCAGCGTGCTGTCCGCTCGGCCGACCGGCTCCCTATTAGTTATAGGGTATATATATATATATATATATACCTATATATAGGGAGGATATATAACTATATCCTCCCTATAGTTACGTCACAATTATTTTATTATACTTGAATAAAGTAGCCAAATGTAACAGAAATATTTTTCTGTAAAACATTTGTTTAAGTCTATGATTATGGTTAAACGAAGTTTTGCAATGTATGTAATAGAAAAACAAAATCCTTGATGAATGTGTACCTAATGATTAATAGTATAATCTCCATTATAATATTAATACGGGTTTCATAGTATTAGTATTGTTTCTTAGTGTCAAGGTATAAATGTTCTGGTATACTGAAGGACCTGTAATAAAATTTGATGTGGTAAGTGCTTTAATACTAGGCCTAAATTCATTTTATTTCTTAATTTGGCATTGTAATGTTAGATTTGTAAAGACTTCAGATATAGGTATCCTTCCCATTAAATTTTCATATATGCTTTCTAATAAAGCAAAAATCGTCAAATCTAAGAGTAATTTATTTTATATATATTCCTCTTGTTCGCAACATTTTATTGTATCTGTAAATTTAAGGGATGTTTAAATGATGATCAGCATTTTTCACAGTCGAATACCTGGCACTGTGATTAGTGGTTCTCATTAATGACTCAGAGGAGAGCAAGAGAGATCTACCTAAATGACTCGCATTAAAGCCTCCGACAGAAGCAAAGGAAAGGCCCACACCAGTGTCTCTCATTAGAGGCTGAGGCAGAAGCGAGAGAGAGAGAGAGAGAGAGAGAGAGAGAGAGAGAGAGAGAGAGAGAGAGAGAGAGAGAGAGAGAGAGAGAGAGAGAGAGAGAGAGAGAGAGGGGGGGGGGAAGAGAGACCTAGACACATGTCCATCATTTAACAAAAAAAATTACATAAATTGAACAGATCAGTCATTAGTATGGACAGAGGAGCAAGGCAGACACCCACATCAATGTTTATCAATAGTAAAGACAGAGAAGCAGGATGAGACACATGTCAATGTCTGTCGGGAGAAACATAAAGAAACATCATATTCAGCACTTCACGAAAGATCGCAAAATTAACCGAGGGGGGGGGGAAGTATTAAAAGAAAATGCTGAAGGGTTTCCATTGCTTCACGAACAATAAATTGGTAGCCATTATTAGCCACAAGCGAATGAACAGCACCGTAGCATGTGGGACGCTAGGGGCGACACCCCCCCCCCCCCTGACTCTGGCTTGATAATCGTCCTTATCAAGATCCTTGTGACAAAGGAGGTGACGCGTTCGCTTCTGGAACGCAGATCTCCTCCAAGAATTTTCAACCCCGCGATATGTTTTCAGAAAATCTTCTCAAATGACGATTGTAAAGAATACCGTTCCTCAGGAGCTAATCCGAGGAAAGACGGCTGGGAAGGGCGTTTGTAGAAAGTCATCCCAACACCATTTTCCCAGCTGTAGGGCTGGATGAAGATACTCCTTTATCGCCCGAGGGGAAAAACTTATTTTCTCTGAACCCATACTTGAAGAAGATTGGTGAAAATAAAACTGTGGGGCAAATGAGCACTTGGTGAGATTATATTGTCCGCTTCGTGTTCTCGCTGGAGCCCGGCTTGAGGGTCGCGGCCAGTGTCAGAGGTCACGTTGTAGTTCGCACGAGAGATAGATACGGACCAGTCTCAGTATTTCCGACACATGAGGTTGGAAAATCTGAAGCTTTCCGACACATGAGGTCCGAAAATCTCAAGCTTTCCGACACATGAGGTCCGAAAATCTCAAGCTTTCCGACACATGAGGTCCGAAAATCTCAAGCTTTCCGACACATGAGGTCAGAAAATCTCAAGCTTTCCGACACGTGAGGTCAGAAAATCTGAAGGTTTCCGACACATGAGGTTGGAAAATCTGAAGGTTTCCGACACATGAGGTCAGAAAATCCTAAACGTTCCGACACGTCAGAAAAAAAATCTAAATTATTTCTTTCAATTCATTGATTAATATCTATCAAATGGTATAACATATATATGGGATCATCCTTGAAATGTCTTTGAGGAGATTTCTTAGATCTAAAAAAATAGTTTTAGTCATAAAAAAATTTTTGAGTAATAAATTGGAATGTTAATAAACGAATATGAAAACAAATTACGATCATCTTACCAATATGTATAGAGAATCGTTTGGCTATTGCTTTTTCAGACTAATAATTAAATAATTTTGCAACGTAAATCAAATGTTTACTTATGTTGTCTAATATTTTAAACATCAAAGATACACTTAAGAATGTCATTATTATATTAGGAATTTTAAATTCTTACTTCTGGTTAATGAACTCACTGAATAACATGAGATTAGATCACTGTCTGCCATATATGAATAACCTTATTTGTTATACATGAAGAAAGGGAGACTTGAGAGACCGATCGGAGACTTGAGAGACGGAGACGGAGAGACGGAGACTTGAGAGACCGATCGGAGACTTGAGAGACGGAGACGGAGAGACGGAGACTTGAGAGACCGACCGATCTTTTGGTGAGGGTTTGTTATCTATAAGTTGTCTCTAAGTTGCAAGTGCAGATATTTCCTCCTCTAGTTGGTACTGTATCTACGTTTAACATAAAGCATTATGCCGACTAAAAATTAAACGAATAAGCATATAAACGCAATTTCAGTTTAGTGAGTTTCGAAGTTACGGTTTTCTTTACTTCGTTTCCTGTGGATGATTTACCAGAGTACCTGTTGAGTGAAGTACCTTATTGTAACTTATAATTGCCTGCTTTATTGATTTGATTAAACTATGTAGTATTGATAATATTTTTAATTTTAGCTAAACACTTTATGTCTAGAAGTTTTTGTATGGCAATTGGGAGCTGCTTAGTCCCGATACTTATACAAAGAGATCTTCGGAACAAGGATTTTGTCTAGTGTCTGACTGACTGACTCTAAGTGGTACAGATGTGGCGGTAAAGGGTTGTACTTTTATCATAATTTCCATGACTTTAATGGTTGTATAATACGACCCAATATCTTGGTTATTACCATTAAATTCAATGTAGAAGACAGCTATGAAACCCAACTGTTTTTCGCTACAATGTCTTAAAGACAGGGTACAACTTTAAGTTCAGTGTTTTATAACAAACCGACTGACATGTTTTAATTTTTGCATATATATAATGACCATAACTTTAGGGTTGAATATTCAATTTTTTTCTTAAAAGTTTTTGAAAGTTCTGCGCGTCTGCATGCCCAATTTTATGATAAGAAAGTAACGAGCTTTTTACGATTGTTTCCAAGGAGAAAAACACCAAATCAGTTACCGACAGCCTTTAAGCATGCTAGGAAAGTACTTTATAGCTCTAGTCCTTAAAGAAAATCAGTCCTTCGTAAACATGCTTGTACACCCGTACATTAACAACGTGGCACAAATCTCTGGCACACTCATAGATTTTAACGTTGTTTAACAAAACATTGTACAGTAAACAAAATAAATTGCTGATTACTAATTCGGTTTCTT